CTTGGCTTAAATATTTATATTTGCAATTACATTACATTTCCAAGTTACTTTGTTAGCTCTGTTTTTTTTTTTTTTTAGATTTAATTTCTTTGAAAATCTTTTCTACACATTTATTTTATTTATTTATTTATTTTTTAACTCTAAAAAAAATATCAAACTAATTTAACTGCAATTTTCACTCAGAAATTGCTAGTAAATTTTACACAATTACAGAGAAACTGAAAGTAACATTGAATTATGCATGAAATTTTGAAGTTCACTCAAATGGTAGACTAAACTGAATGGTATGTACTTGTAAAATGTACTACAATACTCTGTTTTATTTGAGACTTTGAAAAAATAGTTATTTTTACAGTGTACAAGCGAAACTTTAAGTTCATCACCATTGCAAAAACTCTGTTTGGCATCCCATAAAATAATTTTATGTAGAAACAATTTTCACTCAGAAACTGCAAATTGTACAGTTAATTACAAGGAAAAAGGTATGTAACATTTTAAAGTAGAAAAACTGAAATAGTATTTTCTTGTCAAACATACTCCAATAATCTTTTCTTTTTTTTTTCAATAAAACATTGTGTGATTTACTGATGTTTGGACTCTTTCAGGTGTGCTAGCCGGCCATGACAACCGAGTAAGCTGTCTGGGTGTAACTGATGACGGTATGGCAGTGGCTACAGGGTCCTGGGACAGCTTCCTCAAGATCTGGAACTGAACGCTGAAGGTGCTTTCAATACAACATGTCCGATACAGTAAGAATCAGCCTCTTCCAGCACAACCTAATGTTAAACAAGAGATACTTTGTGTGTTTTACATGCCATTTAAATGTATCCTTGTATCACCTTCCGATATTTTTGGCTACACTTTAGTGAAGATCAGAGGGCTGATATGTAATGGCCAGATTTTTTTCAACTTTAATGTTATCAGGGCTTAAAGTTCTCCGGCACCGTGTCGGATCTCCGGCGTGCAGCGTTTGGCTGCGGGAAAAAAATAGTCCTATATTTAAAAAAAAATTTAAATTCTTGTTTATCACTTTCGAGTCCACGAGTTCGCCTACCAATGGTATGAGAGGAGCACAGCTTTCACTCTCAACCAAACTAACATTACTAGCCAATCAGAATATTTTGCTCTTATAAACACGAGACGCGTATAATAGTATCCAATTGCGGAGTCGCAGCCCTGATGAATGGAGAAGCGTGACAAAAAGCTGCGATGTCTATCTAGCGCATATTTACATAGAATAACTAATTAAAAAGCAGCGGAGCTTTGTAAACAGCACAGAGTAATCATGTCATCTCCATAGAACGATATGATTGCCAGAACAAATTTACCGGGATTTTTGAAAAGGTCCAGTTCACACATGATCTATTAATGGTAACTTGCCGGTAATTTACCAGTACTGTATGTGTGAAAGGGGCTAAATGCATTATCTCACTAGATTTGTAATGTAAATCATTTATAAATCTTTGCCAACACAGGAGAATACATCATATTTCTAAATATGCCATTTATTGTACATCGTGATTTCAAAATAAAAGTTTCTGCATGTGGCCAAATAGTAAAATTAAATGGATTTAAACATAGTTTAATCATGCTGTAAAGTGAAACGTCACCAGGCCGTTGGCGCCCTCTGCAGGGTAAGCAATAACTTTGCCATAGTATCCTTTCAAATGTTAAAGTGTGCTGCCCGCCCCGCCCCGGAAAAAAATTCAGGCTCAGGATTTTTTTTTTTGCTTTAACCCCATGTGTTATATAGAATATAGCTGTGGTAGCTGATATAGTGCTACATTATGAACAATCAATCAATCATAATGTTTTGTTGTTATTGTTATTTTAGTTATTTTAGTTTCAGATTTACTTTGAAACAATTTTCCCTCAAGAATTGATAGTAAAGTTGTACAAATACAAAGAAACGGTAAGAACAAGCAGAAAAACTGAAATAGTATTTTCTTGTAAAACATACTCCAGTAGTTTTCAACCTTGAAATTTTTTTTTTTTTACAGTGTAGATTCACAAAATTCAAATTACAAATAAGAATGTTTTCCAACCATTTATGCCTAAATAAATGAGTTTAGTTTCTCAGTGTACCTTCTTGCAGTGTAATAGTAATTTGTGCATTTATCATGCAAGTTTATATGGAGTTGTCTGATCTAAAAAAGTCATTCTCTGAATATCTGCTTTATCATTTTCATCTCTTTTTATCTGTCCACAGATATCATTTGAACTCCAAAGTTGACTGGAAGACCATTCCAACTTTAGAATGTTAAATTTCACAGCATCGTCAACAACAAAATACCTTATAAAACTGACTGACACCACCATGAAAAGAAATAAAACTTCTAAGAGAAAACAATGCCTTTCCTACACCAAGAAGAGCACAATTTGTTTTATCACCCAGCTTAAAAAAGAAAGAAAGAAGAAAAAAAAAAAAAAAAAGCAGAAGAATTCCTGTGGTTTCAAATAACTTGCATTCCCTCTCGGACCATTCTGTGTCACCCTGTAAGAGAAAACACAAAACACTATCATCCCACGCTTATGTATCATGTGTCTAGAAAGCAAATGTTGGAGTGTAATTGTACAAATTATTTAACTCTTATTTTTTCTTCTTCTTCTTTTGTTCCTTTTATCTGGTAGTCCATCTTCTAGATCTTTTCCCGCCTGTTTTTTCTGTTTAGATTATATGTTTCTGATTAGTAAAACTTTTAATCCTGTTATAAAACCATGTGAAAACAAGAAAAGTCATGTAAAATGCTGAAACTAGACCAGGATGGAAGAGCAGCTTTTTTTTGACGATGCCAATCATGTGTTTTGTTTTTTTGTTATTTTCGTGTGCACTAGGTTGCTCTAGAGCAGGGGTAGGCAAGTTCGGTCCTAGAGAGCCGCAGTCCTGCAGAGTTCAGCTCCAACCCAGAAAAGTAAGGTTCACGCGCCCTTTTGTGAAAGCTTAATATTCATATTTTTGGGCGTCCCCAGACAGCGTTCACCTCTGATCTGTTCCGATTGTTAACATCGCTGGGCTATTGCCGATCATCGGCTAATAAGAATAGCCTTAGCTTTCTACAAAATGTAATCCTGATCTGTGCATTAGTTAACTTTCAGTGTGCATCCTGGTCCTTTGTCATTAAAGAAAAAAGTAAATGCCATATCTCTTTGAAATACTTTGCCATTTCTGAGTCCGAGGTACTCGCTTCATTTATCTGCGAATGGCCGTTGTAAATATGGGTATCCGACTTGCACGCGAATGCAGCATTATATCCTAGCTAATGTTTCTTTCCAGTCTCGTCACAGCTTTGTTTGCACAATAAGAAACTTGACTAACGTTTTAAGCGTTAACTAACCAAGCACATGCTGTTAATCACATTGAATGCTAATTTTAATGTAGAAAATGCACAAAAAAGTACAAAAAAAAGTGAAAAAAGTCAGCAAAAAAAAATACAATCCTCTTTCATTGGATTAAAAACAGTTCAAACTAACCCCTTAGCTTATCTTCTGGTCTTACGTTTATACGTTCCTTCGAGCTTTTGGCTTTAATAAAACCTCCGATTTTTGGGATGGTTTTGGTCGGCGGGTGTTGGGGAGGTCGGGCGGGGAGTGTTTAGGGGTTTTTTTCAGTGGTGTCGGGATCGGTGTTTGGAAAAACGAAACCTTTTTCTTTTTAGCCCAGTTCCAGAGAGAGAACAGATAGCCCTGTCTGTGCTTGGAAATACAGTTACTACTGTGTGAATGAAATGTTGTACAAATCAATGTCTGAAAATAATGATAATTCTGAAATTTTTAAGTTAAGCGTTTTATTTCATCTGCCATGAATTAACGTAGTCGCATGCTGTAGAATTTGCTTAAACAGGAGCTGACGTCTTTAGGCCCACTTACCTTCACCGGGACGGCGAAACCGATATGAAACTGAGAATTTTTGACCATTGAAACGTTGATTCCAGCAGATGTTTTACACATGCTGTGCATACATCCTTTACTTTTACCGGCGAAGCTATGCACCAATATGAGAAATCGCAAGAGAGATACGACATGTATTTCCTGCAGACGACCTGTAAGTCATGGCCATGCTTCCTGAAATTGTCCCGAATTAAACGACAGTTGCGAAAAGTCCCGTTCGAGACGCTCGAAAAACCTTTGTGCGAGTTTTCTAAATCAAAACGTTCGATCGGAGAATCGCGAAACTTTTGGCTTTTCTTTAAACGTTTTGAAATGGCATCTGACATGGCAGAGTCTTTTTCCACTGTAAACAGATGCACTTTCTTTAATAGTTGTGACTTCTTTTTTTATTATTATTGTTTTTTTCCTTTCTCTGCGATAATGTACAATAATTGTGATGTATTTGTGTGTGCTGCCACCAGTAAAGATTAATTGCAGTTCAATTAAAATGGATTCCCCTTATTTTCTCTCTTCATTAATAACTAGGTCTCACCAATCCCTACCTAACCTTTTGTATTTAATTTCAGTCTGTCGGTGTACCACAGAAAGCTGGATGCAACATAGATACTATATTAAAATGTACTGTTATTTAAGATGTAATAAAACAAGTTTGAGATGTCTCTGATGTGCTGATGTTTTGCTAGAATTTGCCACAGCAGAAAGTAAGTGTAATAAAAGAGCTTTTTTAAGGTCCGTTCTGACTGAATTAGCAGTTCCTCGTTCCTCAGACTTCCTGGAGTAAATGATGCCATCATCATTTGATATTTGGGGATGTTTCCAGTCTAATGTGTGCTTACCTTTGCTAGAAATGAATTCAGGTAGTCAGTACCTCATTGAGTCGTATTAATCTGTTATGAAGAACTTTTAATCAGTGATTTGTGATTTCCAAGCCTGGGAAACTCCTAGCAATGTCCTTTTCTAAAAAAAAAATGTTTTTTTTCTTAAATATTTGCACTTTCGCTACAGTTAACGTTGTATGCAATTTTAAAGGTCTGGTAACAAAGGACCTCAAAGGTCATATAAAATTGGTCGAACACTGTGGGAACTCAACAACAGCAAACAAAGTATGTACTATTTACCCAAAAGCCAAAGAAAATTAAGCAAACACAAACTATTAACATGGCTGTATAAACAAAGGTCGTTCCAATGAAAACATCACTATTGTGTCCAACCAGAGGATCTTCTGTAGTGCACTTGACTGAATTACCACTTATTTGGCTGATATGCACGAGTCTCCTTTTTTGATATAGCCTACTTAGAGGTCTTCATACTTCATGCTATAAAATAATTGGCGTCTGTAAGTGGCCATTACTGTTCTTAAGAATAACATTTCTAAATAAACCAGCTGTCGAGAAGGCTGATCATCTCAGCAGGTCCTTGACTTGCACTGGAAATGGAGATGGTTTTATGGATTACTGACTGATCTACTTCTTGTACTATTATTAATCCTTGTAATCAGAGTTTGATGTTGATTGTGATCTGGGCCTTTGTTGTAAAGGGATAATTCACCGAAAAGTGACAATTGACTAAAATATGAGTCCTCTATTCATAATATTGCTTTCTCCAGTGAAAAAGTCAACTCGTCTGAATCGGGAGAGAAATATGCACAGATCAAACACCGTTTACATGCCAAAACAAATGTGTTGGTGGATTTTGATGTGAGAGGACAACAGGAGATGGACTTTTTCACTGGAGGAAGCGTTATTCTGTATGGACTCATATTTTAGTTCGACATTAAAATAGTCTTGATGGATTTGTTTCTTACAAACACGCAGCTTTCGCCACACAAGATGTTAATTGATGGACTGGAGTGGTGTGGATTACTTGTGGATTATTGTAATGTTTTTATCAGCTGTTTGGACTCTCATTCTGACGGCACCCATTCACTGCAGAGCATCCACTGGTGAGCAAGTGATGGAATGCTACATTTCTCCAAATCTGTTCTGATGAAGAAAAAACTCAAAATCTTGGATGGCCTGAGGGTGAGTACATTTTCCACACATTTTCTTTTTTAGGGTGAACAATTCCTTTAAAGGAAAAAATTATTCTTTCTTCTGTGGAACACAAAAGGAGATACTTTGAAGATAATTTTGGGTCCAAACCCCATTAACTTTCATTGAACAGTCATAAAACCCTGATATTATTTAAAAAAGAAAAGATTTTTTGTGTTCTGCAGAAGAAAGTCAAACGATATGAGGGAGAATTTTTTGTTGTTGTCCCTTTTCTGTCCCTTTAAGTGGGCTGGTATTGCTCTGAAATGAATCGATAAGTTCGTAATGGGCTTATGAATTTGAAAACAATTGCAAATTTAGCATGTGAATGTGTCTTTGAACATGTATCTACAATGCATTCTTTGTGAATTTATACAAATGGCTCATTGTTGCCAGTTGTATATGCAATAGTCAGCAGTTATCTTGAGAAAAAGCAGACAAAAATAATAAAACCTAAACCAGCCAATCATGTGGCAGCAACTCGGTTCATATGCAGCATGCAGAAATGGTCCAGAGGTTCAGCTATTTTTGAAACCAATCATCAGAAGGGCTAAGAAATATGGTCTAATTGCAGCTAATTACTGCATGAATATGTAGTCGAAAACATGATGCTATCATGACATTATGACCCTCATGTGTCTCTAGGCAAGATATCCAGTGTACCGCATGCATATTTTACCGCTTTTATTAAAGGGATTTAATAAATGGTTTTCAATGCAACATTCTTAGGTGGTCGAGAATGTTTAGATGAGATCATGTGCCTCAATAACTCAGCCACATATCTGTTTTCTCTTTCTGGTGTGTTGTTTTTCCTCCTTTTCTCCAAAGGAAATGATTTTGGGCCAATCTGACAGATCTATTCCTGTTTCTTAGGAAAAGTATGTTGGCCAAACCATATGGAAGATGCCTCAGTTTAGCAGTGACTAAAACAAATGAGTTTCTGAGACACAGTCACACTCGTGATTATGTTGTTAGAAATCAAATACCAGCTAATTACTTCCCATTTGCATGTACTAGAATAGCCCACATTATTTGAAAGCAAATTGGGACACAGAATGCATTACTCAACAATAAAGGTCTAAAACGGTTGTGTTATATGGTTGTCGCAGATTATGAGTTAGTGACTCTCACAGATGCTAAATAACAGAGTGCAGATTTTTAAAAGTAGCACGTAGGACACAGTATATACTGCAGTAAGTAGTACACTAGTTTTTTCATGCTGCTAAGCTCACTTGTCTGGTTCAAACAGTACTTGAGTCCCATAATTTTGCTTTTACTGAAACGGACTTCATAAACATCCTTCTTGCATGTAGATTCCTTCATGAATGCATTGAGGTGGCATTGATAATACTGGCCTTACGCAATGAGAAAGCTCAGATAAATGTTGTTTGCAAATTAACAGTGATATAATTTCTGTCAATTTGCCTCTAAGAAATAATGCAGGCTTAAAAGACTGATTAACCTTATGGTATTTAGAAGCAGTCAGTGAAAATCCTGAAATCACATAAGTTACACAATCTTCCCATCTTCAATCATATTAACCAAAGTTGCAGCCAAGTTCCACCAAATGTTCCACTGAATTTCCTCTCAATGGTGTAATAGATAATGGTCTTTCATGTAGCTGTTGTTGTTTTTTTTGGGATAGAATGTGTCTTTGAAGTCTTTGAAGTTTTGGAATTCTCATTTTCAGAACTTATATGTTCCATAGACATAATAAACACAATGAATAATTTCTGATAAATGCAGATAAATGTTTCAGTGGTGCAATCAGCAGAACAAGCTGCTTTGAAAACCTTCTGCTTGCCTGGAATTTTGACTAAAACTGCAACTTACATCAAAGTGTTCAAAAATTGCTAGCTTAGGGGAGTACATAAAAAGACATAAACGAGTCAACTGTTGTCATTCAGTAAAAATAAGACACCATATCAGATATTTTAGTTTTGGAAGAATATGTTGAGAAATGCTTGAGCTCATATTAAGATTTCTGACTTTTGATTGCAGACTTTTAAATCTGAACAAATTTTGAGGCATTTTTGAGATTTCTTCTGAAACTCTAAAGAAGCATGTGATATTTCTATATGAGAGGCAGGAAATCTTAAACCTCTTCATTTGTTTCCCATTCAACCTCATTGCTGTCTAGGGAATCTGATTCAGATACTGATACCATTTGTGACTTTTATTTCCCGTAGGGAACAATGATTTCTGTCTTACAATAATGCCCTATAGTAACAATGAAGAGTATCTTCCCAAACAATCGTTGCTGGTTTGTGATAAAACTGGATATACACTCTTAAACATAGTTTTTTTTTTCTTCCATTACCATGTTTTACTGTGATTGTACGTTTCATGTTTTAGCAGAGTGGGCGTGGTCTTTAAGGAAGCGCAGGTGTGATGGAGAGCGCTCATTTCGAAATGTTTATGTGCAAATGCGTTTTATCCGTCTCATATTGATATTTGTTTGAACTCTTGCTCTTAATCCTCATTTTAAGTATTAATTCAAATATATGATGAAGAAGGGGTTAATTTTATTGAAAATAGTATGTTAAAATTAAGCAAGAACAGGAAAAATGGGTATGTAAAGCTACTGTCACTAGTTAGCGCTAGTGGACAGATTGTGTTTAGTGAGAGATGAACAAGGTTATTGTTATTAGCGCTGCTTAAAAGCGGACAAACTCCGGCTTCAGTGTTATTTGAGAGTTGGTGCTTTTTTTTTTAAATACAGAATGCGTTTTTGCGTGAAAACGCGAGATGCAGTACAGTGAAAAGAAAAAACGCATGGTCTAGAGATGCTTTTTTTTAAAGTTCAAAGAGGTCATGAACGTGAACTATAAAAACATCCTGTAAGTTTCAGAGCTCAAAACTTTCTCGTTAGTCCAAAAATCTGCCAAAATTACAGGTTGTGGGAATGTGTCACTTTATGATGTAATAGTGTGGCTAAACCCCGCCTCCGCAGAAGAAAATCAACGCCTACTTCTACATCACTGCCTGTTTAGCCCCGCCCACAGATTCACGCATGTAGTGTAATAGTCAGTGGGGTGTTTACTTCCGAGTCTACAATCCGCCACACTATTCAAACAGAGCGTTCTGATGAGGAGGGTCAAAACAGGACAGAAAGTTATTTCTATTACTTCTAAATTGTGATGTTTTTTTGATGTCATTATAAGTGGACCTCAGAGAGCAGTACAAAAAAAGGCAGTTCATGACCCCTCCAACTTCCTTTACTTGAGTGCCACGTTTTGTGTACATCTTGTACATCTAGCGCATGCTTAAATAGAAAAACAATGAAAAAATAGCGCAATGGAACAGAAAAATGCATTCTGCGTGAGACTGAGACGTCTTATAAGACGTTTCATAATATAAACTTTGGTTTAATTATGCTCTTAGCACCTGTTTTTATTTGCACATTTTGCACATCCTGTTTTTTATGGAGCCCCGCAAATGACATGCAGGGGGGAAAAAAGTTAAATCGTGCAGACGATTTACCAATTTTGTTCCCTTGTTTTAAGTAAATTGTGCACACGAAATCATAATTTGTTCTACTTCCTGTCCGCATTCTCATAAACTGATGTAGATGCCTCTCACTTAAAATAATTCCATGCAATGCAGCAAAGCTTTTGAGAATGTCTCTATAACTCATTCCCAACTCAAAATAAAATCCAATTTAAGTGTCTCTGTCCATAACATAACAGCAGCAACTAGTTTAACAGAATGTGGACAAGAAGTAGAACGGATTATTATTTCATGCACACGATTTACTTAAAATGAGGGAACGTGCGCATAACTTACTTTTTTTTTTTTTTTTACTGCATGGAGAGTTGGTGCTTTTTTTTTTAAATACAGAATGCGTTTTTGCGTGAAAACGCGAGATGCAGTACAGTGAAAAGAAAAAACGCATGGTCTAGAGATGCTTTTTTTTAAAGTTCAAAGAGGTCATGAACGTGAACTATAAAAACATCCTGTAAGTTTCAGAGCTCAAAACTTTCTCGTTAGTCCAAAAATCTGCCAAAATTACAGGTTGTGGGAATGTGTCACTTTATGATGTAATAGTGTGGCTAAACCCCGCCTCCGCAGAAGAAAATCAACGCCTACTTCTACATCACTGCCTGTTTAGCCCCGCCCACAGATTCACGCATGTAGTGTAATAGTCAGTGGGGTGTTTACTTCCGAGTCTACAATCCGCCACACTATTCAAACAGAGCGTTCTGATGAGGAGGGTCAAAACAGGACAGAAAGTTATTTCTATTACTTCTAAATTATGATGTTTTTTTGATGTCATTATAAGTGGACCTCAGAGAGCAGTACAAAAAAAGGCAGTTCATGACCCCTCCAACTTCCTTTACTTGAGTGCCACGTTTTGTGTACATCTTGTACATCTAGCGCATGCTTAAATAGAAAAACAATGAAAAAATAGCGCAATGGAACAGAAAAATGCATTCTGCGTGAGACTGAGACGTCTTATAAGACGTTTCATAATATAAACTTTGGTTTAATTATGCTCTTAGCACCTGTTTTTATTTGCACATTTTGCACATCCTGTTTTTTATGGAGCCCCGCAAATGACATGCAGGGGGGAAAAAAGTTAAATCGTGCAGACGATTTACCAATTTTGTTCCCTTGTTTTAAGTAAATTGTGCACACGAAATCATAATTTCTTCTACTTCCTGTCCGCATTCTCATAAACTGATGTAGATGCCTCTCACTTAAAATAATTCCATGCAATGCAGCAAAGCTTTTGAGAATGTCTCTATAACTCATTCCCAACTCAAAATAAAATCCAATTTAAGTGTCTCTGTCCATAACATAACAGCAGCAACTAGTTTAACAGAATGTGGACAAGAAGTAGAACGGATTATTATTTCATGCACACGATTTACTTAAAATGAGGGAACGTGCGCATAACTTACTTTTTTTTTTTTTTTTCTTGATTGTCATGCGGGTTCTGTGTTTCTTCTGAAGCCATACGATAGTTTAATGTGAGCTACATATGAATATTTAAGTCCTTACATTAAAGTTCACACAAACTCTT